TATTGGGAAGGTCACACACAACTTCCAGAGGACATCGCATGCCAGACCAAACACACATGGAAGATAGAAATACTTGTCCATCTTGGAAAGGCACCAGGGCTCAGCTTCTACCCTGAGCATTTTCTTTTGCTTTTCTTGCTTCTAGACCCAATGTGATGTGGCCATATTCAGCTGTTGCACTGAACTGGATTTTCTTTAGTCTTTTTACTTGACCCCAGGTACAGTCTTGTGATCATGATGTACATTCAAGGACTTTGGCTATAGAGCCCAACAGGCACAAACTGGAACAGAGGAGGTTCCCTTTGACTATCAGGAAGCACTTCTTTACTGTGCAGGTGATGAAGCACTGGCACTGGTTGCCCATAGAGGTTGTGGAGTCTCCCTCCTTGGAACCCCCCCCCTCAAAACCTGCCTGGACATGGTCCTGGGCAGATTGGTTGGGTGAACCTGCTTGACCATGGGAGTCAGACCAGATGACTTCCTGAGGTCCCTTCCAACTTCGGCCAAACCCATTTTCAGAAGACACAGATAACATGAACAACCATCACAACAAGGTTGTGCAACCCCCATGGCCAGCAAAAGGATCTCTGCCAATTTCCTGGCTACAAGATCACTAAAAGCAAAAATGTATGTGTGTTCACAGCCAGCACCAAGAGTCAAGGGCATGAAACAGTGAGCAGTTCTGTGCTGTCACAGCAGCAGATTCAGCAGAATACCATCTTCTTCTCTGTGTTGCAGGAAAACACATCAAAGTGACCTAAATATTCATGGTCCCTCTTTCTTGATTGTAATGATCTCATATCTAGACACGGGTGACACGCAAGGGGCTGTCTATTGATAATTATCACTTTTGTTAGCAAGAAAGCAGTCTCCAAGTTTGCCAGACATTAGCACTGATACAGCAAAGGCAGCCAGCAGGGGAAAACATGCCGTGTCAGCAGTGTAACACGAACAAATCAAGCCCTCAAATTATTTGTGGTTGGATTTTTGCTCCATGACTCTTTTGTCACTCAGCCGCCCTTCTCTTCTTCATGTGTTTGTTTTTTTTTCTTTTTCCCTTCTAACTACTTTGACACATTTTCCTCTCTATACATCACTGGAGATTGCTGTCCTGGGAGCTGCTGTGGTAGGATGATGCGTTCTTTCCTCTTTCTTTCTGATTTCTGACACTTGTAGCAACCCAGAGTGTTCCTGGGAATCAGTGATCGCCCTCTTATCCCTGACATCCCTTTGCCTGGGGATGCAAGCTAGCCCTCCAAACCTACTTGGAAAGGCACCAGGGCTCAGAATTAAAGAAAATAAGCACATGCAGGTCTCCTCCTGGTGGGGTAGGATATGAGGGTCTGGTGAGGGTGTTTTCTTACTTATACAAAAGTCTGATCATTTCTGAAGTATTTCACTCCCAAATGTTTAGACCATTAAACTTCCATGAGGTATTCAAGGTGTTTCAGGTTGTGTTTTTTTGTTTGTTTGTTTGTTTAGTTGTTTTTTGACAGAGCCAAGCCATCAGTTATCTAGAGCTTCTGTGGTGCTTTTGAGCCAGATTGGTGAAGAGAGGCAGGTTTGTTCTCCTGGAAGCCACAGCAGACCAGGGAGTTTGCTGCTGGATATAACCTTGGTGACTGGAACAGAGCAAGAAGAAAAGCAGAGGAGAAGGGGTGCTTCTTCAGGGTAAGGCAGGCAAACTGCCTGACTCAGACAGTCACAGAGATGCACACCCATGCACATATACACAGCCCTCCAGTGGACCATGTTCATAGAAATCAGAGGTGCATGCACAGGACACTGTCATATACACAAGTTTAGGATCTTAGAGGTGCTCCTGAGGATAATAAGTATGTCCACAAAGATTCATAGGCTGAAATGGAAACACAGCATATTATTCTTGGTTTAGTGGCAGAATGCAGCTTTAAGCACTGAAACTTTTTTTTTTTTTAAAGTCATGGATAAAAATGCTGCATTAGCCTTCACAGATACATCCAGTGAGTTAGATTTTCCCTAGGGCCAGATGGGATTTTAAGTCAAGAAAGTCAAGAACAAAGAGAGAAATCTACATAGTCTGTGTTTTACACCCAAATGCTCTGGTCACCCACTAACCAAAAATGCTGAAAAAGCTAAGTAAATGAATTCGTCTGATGCAGAACCGCATGAAAGGCTGTCTTAAGGAGCTCCCCACTGTAGACTTGCCACTCTCTGTTTTTTCCCCTAAGGACACCAGCTGTGGTTTATCCTCTCCTCTCCTCCTTTCCCCACTTAAAAAGTGCTACATTCGAGCTCAAATCTCTGTTCCAAGAGCAAAGGGAATCATTAGTTACCGACACTTAAAAATTATTAGATCTTCCTCATCTGAACCTCATCTCAGTAATATATTGGGAGGATGTACCACTGTTTTCCAGAGCAAATCTCATCTAAAAGAACTAAGGCTATAAGCGTCCTATAGGGACACTTTTCTGCTTTCTTCTTAATACCATATAATTCTCCAACTGTTCTCCAAATTCCAGATATAGGCAGTGATACGTGGGCAGCATTTAGGCCCACTTCCTAGCTCCACAGTCTGCAAAGAACAGAGGTAATTGATCTGCACTTTGTTGTTCAGTCTTTCCTGGCTTTGGATGACTTTTTCCACTTGTTCATACTGTGTTTCTTTTAGTGGTTTATGTGATCTGTATATGGCTGATCAATTATAGCTAGAAGCTGTAAATCTGTGGGAAAAACCCCCAGAGAAAATGCAGCACTTAGCACAGTGCTGATGGAGGCACACCCAAACAGACTTTTAACCCTCTCTTCTCCACAGAAAATCCCCCGGTATGTTCAGCATTGCTCGACTAGGCAATGACTGTTCCCCACTCCTCCCCTTACTAATTAATGGAAGATTTATCAGGCTTCATTGATACTAGGAGGGGTTAGAGCTGCATGGATATATGTGAATTTTGAGAGGGTATGGTCGTTTCTGAAGGACTGATACCACATACATTAACTTTGCTGCTTGTGTCAAGGCACCTAAGGCTTTGAGAAGAACTCTCTGATGTGCTGTGAGAATAATGCAGGTCATAATAAGAGCCATTCAGTGACTCATACCACTGAGTATAGTGGTTTCTCTGGTGTCCATGTTCAATGCTGTTAACCACAAAATGTAGCATTTGTATTGTCCACTTTTTGAGATTTTTAGCTGAGAGAGCTGTTATGTTCAGCTAGTGAAATCTATCCCTGGTTTGAAGGGACAGTTCTTCAGACAGCAAATAGAGACCATCAAAAAAAAAACAGTTGCTCAGATTTGAATGTTTTTGTTGAAGCCAGTCTCAGGTCTCCAGTTTACTCACATGGTTCCTGACTCCTCAGAGTTCCTGACTCCAAGAGGATTATCTTTCAGTCTGTCAGAGTAGCCCCACTTTACCCTGTGCTCTTCTCTCATGGCCCCTAAATAGCATTACATAAAGCAGGACCATTCAGTGTCCTACAAGTCATATATTTCCTTGAACAAACTTCTTTCTATAGCAAAAGTTAGCCAGAATCTAGTGATTCCAAAATATGGAGTTATTAGAACACAATTTTATTTTGGTTTCATAAGAAAGGGGAAACAGTAGAGCGTTGTCAAAGTGACTTATTGCTATAACTGCTGTTGGAAGGTCCTACTGGCGTTTATACTTTGAATGAGTTCATTGAAATAAAGATAGACTTCTTATGGATTAACTGGGAGCAAAAACTTTATCTTAGAATAGCAAAAAATAGCAACAGCATTCTTGCTATCTGCACATTGTCTTTACAAGAAAGGTTATCTTTGTGTTGCTGGGTGGTTCCTTCATTGGAGAAGAAGGGTTGTTTTTAATATTCAATGATAAAAAGACCTTGAAAAAATAAATAAGCTTGCTGGGATTGGAGGGAGGAAGAGGGCCTGCCCTCAGTAAAGCATTGTGTTTCTAACGCTTTACTCTTTCAACAGCCCAGCTCTGGAGTCATGACTGTGTATGTTTATTATTGTATTATCATTGTATATATTGCCAGTCTGACCAGTAAAACTTTACCAGCATCATTCCAGAAAATGCTAGTGAAAAAAAACAGTAATGAACCGTCCAAAACAGTACTTGCTGAAGCTATTTCCATCTGTCAAGGAAATAGCAAGCTGCAGTGAGCTTGCTCATATGGTCCTTCTCTTTTCCCTTTTTCCCTTTTGTTCTGTGCTTTTCTCTTCTTCTGCCATTTATTTTCTACCCATGTGGTGTATACTGGCATCACACCAAACCACAGAATATTTGGTTGCATTTTTCGGTGGAAGGAAGAGCTAAAACCTCATCCCAAATTCACCATCAGACTTGATAAGGGTCTGAGATGGTGGCAGGGATGGGAACAGAAACTCAAGAGCAATTGCTTTCAAATTCCCAGCAGTCAGGCCACCTCTGAGAATGCATAAAATAGCTGCCCTGATTTAATCATTTACAGTAGCTTCAGCACAGTTTCTGTATGGCCTGTCAGCCTGAAAGACACAGGCAAAACAACCCTTTGGTTCTGGACTGATGCTGCACTGCTCAGAGAGAAGTCTTCCCTTTGCCTCCCTTTACATTCCTTGCAGCTTTCTAGGCTGTAAGGCCTTTTTTTTTTTTTTTTTTTTTCATCCTTTTGCTTTCCTTCTTGATGAATTACAGACAGATCCTGGGCTGGTCCAAGCACAGACCCAGTGAAGGCACCTTGAATTTCTACAGCTCAAATCTTGAAATGCAAGCAAGGATAAAAACATCCTGCCCCGAATGTGTCCACCTGCTTTCCAAGGACAGGGACAGTGCTTTCCCCATGCATGTCCCCAGCCCACGTGGCACTTGTTGCAGGCTGCAGACTCCAGCAGAGCAACTTCTGGAGTGACCAGGCCAGGCTAGGCTAGGCTAGGCCACTGGGAGTGGGCCCACCTGGGTGCTCTGGGTGATGCAGAGGGGGAGAGAAGCACCAGCTGGCTTGGGTGCTCCACCCCAGGCTGCTGCTTCATAAGGAAAACTATGTCTTAACAGAAGGCGGTAATCAGCAGAAAATAAGGATCGGGGGAGCCCAGACTGAGTTTTAAATTAGTTTTAAATTAGTGGAACTCCATTGGCTTGCCCAGAGTTATTTCTGATTTGCACAGAGATAACCAATATCAGAATCAGATGCCAGATGTATGAAAACCCGTTGTGTTTACAGCCATGTGGCAGTCCTGCAGAAATGGGCCTGGTGGCATTTCAGGGTGCTGGGCCGTACAGGCCATGGCATCCCACATGCCCTGCTGGCATCTTGGGTATCGCCCTGAGGCTCGCCATGCCTTCTTTGCAGAGGTAAGGAGAAGCCACTAGCAGAATTACTCTGTGCTTTGAGAGGCGGCCTCTCTGCAAGGAAAAGTGCTTGTTCAGTCAAACGCAGCTTGCTGATAAATAGTTTATGATGGTGCTGAAGTCTGGTGTTGCCATGATTGTTTATACTGTGCTATAGCGTAGCTGCTACAGACAGATTGCACTGCCGGACCTTCAAGGCTTATTTCTCAAAATGAAATGTTCACTCAGCAGCCAAGCTTGTTTGGGGAATTAATAACATTTAAAGTGACAGAGGCTTAGCATCTCCCTACGACTTTTCTTTCAGTGCCCTTGACACCGCAGAGATTCATTGGCTTCTTTCAGTCAGTGCCAGTTAACTACAGACTAGCGTTACTGAGGTTTGCTGTTCCTCAACTTTTTGCGCAGTGCTTCAGTCACACTGATTGCATTTTAATTGAATAGGAAACCAGCTGAGCCTGGAAGAGGCTGAGTGGCTGAGAGTAAAGCAAGCCAGTGTCTCACAACAAGCCAGGCACGTGTAGTCCGCTCCCAAATGTATGGGCTCTCTCCTGACAGACCAATATTCTGAGCTTCTGAGCTTTGCTCAGAAGCACATTTGTGCTTCTGTGGCACTGGGTGGCTCAGGCTGCTGTACCTCAGTCGTGCACCAAGATAACCGAGAGCAGGATCCAGTCTACGAATTGAACTTAACAGCAAAACCAAAATAAAGCCATAGTGGAGTCATTAACTTCATTCAAAATGCTTAGTGTGTTGTGAGTAAAATTTTGGCCTGTTCTGCTTCTGTGCTGATTCAATATTGTCAGAAGAAATAAACCGATTTGAAGGAAATTAGAAGTGATACGTTTTAAAAAAAAAAAAAGTGATTGTTTTTTATTCTGAAGAGCTGATTGTTTGTTTTTAATAGGTGAACATGTTATAAAGAAATATATGTATATTTACATATCTGTATGTACATTCTCTACTGCCCTAGGCTTGCTTCTCAGACATTTGTAGTGATTTAAGGATCCAGCATTATTGAAATACAGCAAGAAAAATTGTTTTAGTGCCTTTCCCAAAAGAAAAGGGTCTTAAAATTAGCAGAAATCCTTCATGAACATGTATTCCAAAACTTACCTTTTAAGGAAGTTTGTGATGATTCAGATAAGACTGGAAAGAATATCCCAGCTTTCAGGCATTATCCATTTCTATAAACAAACGTAACACCAAAACTTGTGATAAATTACTCAAGAGTTTACCAAATGCACTGCAATACATTTGGATGCTGTACCGGTGTTTTCTGCACTTTGGACCTGATAAAGGAGGAGGGGGAAAATTAGGATGTGCTGCACTGATTTTGTGGTCTGAGCCATAGTTACCCATTTTAGTGTATGCCATTGTATTTCAACAGCAGAGCCTAACCACAGAGCTGTGATTCACCTGGGAAAACAGCATTTGTTTGCAGTGACGTTTTGGGTAGCCTTAAAGCTGCCTTTCTCCAGCCCCAGCTGCATGAGCTCACTGACAGCCAGCCCCAGCATTTGCATTACAGCTGGTCACCGTATGTGTCCTGACCCTCCAGCGGATCCCGAATTTGACTTAGTCCTGCTTCTCCTTCTAAGCTTGTCTGTGTCAATCAAAATTAGAGATGTGAAACATAGTATAATGACATTACAGCATTAGAAGAATAAAAAAAGGCAGGAAATTGGAGCTAGGGTTTGGTCTAATTTTTCCTGGCAGAGGGGCTCTTTGTTTGGGGGGGATTACAGATGGACTGGGACAACAGCTCCTTATGTCTTCAATATTGCCGTAGTTCCAGGCTTAAGCAAAAAAACACTCAGACTTACAGTTTTCAATTTAGTGTGCTGATGAACATGAGGTTAATGATGACCTTAAATTTTTTTTTTTTTTTTTTTTTTTGCTAAGCTTCTCTTCAGTTCAGACTTAGTGGTCTTACTCTCTGATTTGCGAGGGAGGAAGGATTATGACTGTGTCTGGAGGCAGTGAAACCTTCCAAGAAGGCCACTCCTGTAAGGTGTACCTATATGTTAAACCTTAGCATTGCAGGGCCATCCCTGCATGTAAGGTGCCCAACATGTCTCTGACTACAGCTCTGAAGGCAAAATACTCAGTAAAGTATCTGGCTGCTGGATGCAAATAGTCATATTCTGCTAGAATATTCTGCAAAGAAGATAAAAAGTCCCAAGATTTCAGGGGCCCTTCAAAGGCTATGCCAGCACATTAACTGCTACTGCTGCTTTGGTCTTCACAGAAGGAGCTTTAAGGAAAACAGGCAGAGGAGAAAAGAGCAGAAGAGAGAACCTGTCAATAGTTCAAATGCTCCTAGCTCTTACACAATGCATATAGTGCCAACTGCCTCTCTTGTTCCCAAGCCAGCTCATTACTTTTGAAGTTTTGCATGGATCAGTGTAAAAAAAGAGCTTTCTATAAGAATCAAGCCTAATAAAAGTAATTCTTTATGGTTTAGCACTTAATTGCGGTTGAACACTTCACTTTCAAACAGGAAAAAAAATAAATACTGTAACATGTTGGGGAAAACAGAAATGCATCTTACATCAAATTTAGTAAGAGTCACTCAAATATATACGTAGATCTGGGAACATATTTTTCTGGCAATTTATAGTCAATTTGTCAATCACTGACTGAGGGTTTCTGTGTTTGTCAGCTTCAAATGGGCTGAGATCACACTGGAGCTTACTTACTGGTGAGTAGACTCAGGTTGACTGTGCCGTCCTGTCCTAGAATCACAGAATCATCTAGGTTGGAAGAGACCTCCAAGATCACGGAGTCCAGCCTCTGATCTAACACTAACAAGTCCTCCACTAAACCATATCACTAAGCTCTACACCTAAACATCTTTTAAAGACCTCCAGGAATGGTGCCTGAACCACTTCCCTGGGCAGCCTATTCCAATGCCTAACAACCCTTTCAGTAAAGTTCTTCCTAATATCCAACCTAAACCTCCCCTGGCACAACTTTAGTCTATTCCCCCTTGTCCTGTCACCAGGCACGTGGGAGAATAAACCAATCCCCACCTCGCTACAGCCTCCTTTAAGATACCTGTAGATAAGGGAATACAGTCAGAAAAATAGCTGTTGCCCTCATTAGGTATATTTCATAAGTACCTAATTCATAATGTAAAAATGTATGAATAAAATTTTGACATTCGATGCCTGAGTCCAGCAACTGAGTTGCTGCTGGATATTTTGGGCACCTGGCAATTAGGAAAAGTATGTGGTAAATTCTTTCCTACTGTGAATCTAAAAATTCTACTGATTTCAGCAAAGCTAGGTTGGCTTATGCTACATATGTGTATCATAGCTATCAGCTGGGCTATCAGAAGTCTGATATCCTCCTACTCTTTTTTGAGCATGTCCAGCTCCATTTTAGAAGCAGTTGGGTTTTTACCACTGTTGTTCCTTTATAGTGAGCAAATTTAATGTGAAAATTGCTGGAAGACATTAAATACAGACTTCCACACTACCACTCTGACAGGCGTCTCGGTAACAGCACAGCCACACTGTGTTGTGGCTTAAATGGTATTTGTTCTTTTTTGTACTCTGATCTCATTCTAGTTTCCCCGTGATGCTCAAATAACATTGGTCTAATTAAAATCAGGCAAATATTTCGTGTTATGTGTAATAGGTAATATAAAGTACGTATGCAATGATTTAACTAAACATTTAAGCTTTGGATAAAGAAAAGTTTTCATCTGGCATTAACTTCCTAGTAGACAGAGACCAATGACTCCTGCCAGTCCTGTTAGAGCTGCATTGGTAGTTCTGGCCTTTTGATAGTAATTATTAAAACACAGAAAACTCAGTTTTTGCTTGTTTGTTTGTTATTTTTTCTTTCTTTTTTGTTTACTTTTTTTCTCTTTTATTTATTTTTTTCTTTTTTTTGTGTGCAGCTTTGGTTTGCATGGGAAAATTGTTGTAAGAGATAACAGAGGAAGATAGAACAACAGTGATTTTTTGTGATACTTCCCCAAGAGAGTCCCAATCTAATCTGTTCGGTTATGGTAGTTGGATTAGTATGAAACATTGGCAAATGAGGTCTCCAGTCTTAACTTTTTTTTTTTTTTTTTTTTTTTTTTTTTTTTTTTTGTATTTAACCTGGCAAAGGATTTTTTGGTAAAAATCCTTAACAGTCTAAGAGAAAGTAGGTCTTTAAATACATTTAAACTGATAGAATACTCACCTGCTAGGTTTCAGCTACTGCTGAAGACCAGCAAAGATACCTGTTCAGAAAAAGAGTTGTAGTTCAGTCCTTGATGAGGACTTCTTCCTAAGAAATAACCCACCTAAATTTCTACTTCTATTCCCTCTTCTGAATTTGAGACATGTAAATTTAGTACAGGCGATTTTATATCTAATGTACTGTGCTCAGCATATCCAGATTTTAAACTGCTATAATGAGAGGAGATGGCTAAGGCAGGCTGGGGCTGTGCACTGGAGGAGCAGGTAAAGGGAGAGCTATTTCTGCTAAAAGAAGTTGTACTGATACTTCTAATACCTGCAAAATATGTGACTTGAATTTGCAGCATAACATTATAAATCCCTTCCCCCCCTCCCCCTTTTTTCCCTGTGTGTGTCTCAGTGGTGTTTTCCCTATTCTGTTTCTAAATAACTTTGTGCTGCTATTTCAGTTGTTTGTTTGTTTGTTTTGATAATTAAACAGAATCATCCACAAACACAACGTTTGAATTTCTAAAATTTAAAGCAGAAAAAATATGCACAATATGTGCACGAACACATACATGTATCTGCGTATTATAATAAATATGTAAAACACATTCTCAGAGGTTATTACCAATATATAGAATCTGACAGGCAGTGAGAAAGTTCAGACATTTATGTAAAATCATATCTGCATTATGCAGGAAAAAAAAAATAGGATTAAAGAGAGAGAGAGAGAAATCCTCATTTTTTGTAGCATAAGGCTACCATTAATTTACAGTGCTTTCCCTGGGGACCTTTACTCTTTGCATTCTCTTTTGAGACCTC